TAAATATTTGTTTATCATTACTTAAGTAGTGAACAAAAATATTTGTTTATCATTACTTAAGTAGTGAAAAAAACAAATAATAGAAAATAGTAGAAAATAGAAAACTGAACATGTCCCATGTTGATAGTTATTGTATCAGTTGATTCCAAAAGAGCTTTCAGATGACCCTCTTGCTGCAATCTGGAAAAGGTGCTAGCAGTACTATACACCCCCTGGTAACCACAAGAAAGACAGGCTAACAAAAACTTCAGTCAACTCGGGATAAAAACTTGGCTCCTTGATAACTTACGTGATAGACTAAACAGCATCAAAAATCACATCTGAAAAGGATTCTTAAACATAATTCTTATACAACTTTACGAAAGAAAGCATTGGCCTTTAATGTTTATAAGGTTTTTCTTGTTAAAAAAACACAAAGTGATCTAAATTTTTAAAATTCCTTCATGCCAACCAGTTTCTAGTTTTAAAAAGGCTTCTTTTTTTCTTTCAAGTAGAGACTAGTCTAGTACAAGGTGTGATTGCTATCCAAATATGTGTTCCCAAAGGCTCACAGTTGAAAGATTGCATACAATAACAAACGTCATCCTAAGCCACACAGATGCACTGAGAAACAGAATACTTAAAAAGTGACCCCACCCAACTATCTATCCTCACTTTAATGCTGGCATCTATTCTATCATCCGTCAGTCTCCAGCTGACTACAGAAATTTGGAAAGTTCTGATAACTCATTATAACTACAATTAAGTTATACCTACCAAAACAGAAGATTTTTTAAGTTGATCAAATTAACATTGATAAATTCCTTAAACCATATTCAACATCATCAAGAATTAAGAAGCAGGCAAAATGAGACTACTTAAAATACATAAAAAGAATATAAGAATGATGACCAAATAGATAGTCCAAAAAGGTATCTTGAACAAAGTCGTAATAAAGAATATTGCTTACAAAACTAAAAATAACCAAAAATATTTTCGCAAAAATGACCACTTGAAATGAAGCATGTCACAACATATTATCATATAAATGTCTACAAGATCATTCAAAAAAGTTTATTTTTGCAAACATAACCTAAATTTTAAAAACAGAAGATAAAATTATTTTAATAAATATCTTAGTTCTTCTAAAATAAAATCCCAATTATTTGTCCTACTTCTCATGCTAAAATTTTGTTCCTTTCTCTACATGGATCTTAAAGCAGTAGGCTCTACTATGCCAGTTTATCTTAGATAACAAAAACCTCCTGCATTAAGTATTTCCTAACCCATTTTGCTTTCATAAAATCCAGGGAGAAGTTGATCTCTGATCTTTGAACAACCAAGAATCCTACAGAACCCGAACTAAAACCTAAGCATCCTAAATACCTAGAACCCAGCACCATTAACCGTCCATTCCTTTAGTAGTTAGCTCCCTCCAAGGTGTAAATACTCCAGAATGAACTTGAAAGTCACACGTACCTTCTGAATGACTACTGAATGACAGCTAACCAGGGTATTCCAAAATATTTTTCTGTATCTACATAAGAATATAATAGAAGAGATATGTGGGCTTCGTCAATACTGTCAATATTGTCAATACTTCGTCAATAGTCCTGACATTAATTTTTTAGCACTGAGAACATGATCTAATGTTTTCGTCAAACAAACGCCCCAGCTAAACTGACTTTCAGTCCCATTTCTTCTGAATATTTGTCCTTGTACAGTAAAACATGATGACACTGCAAATGAGGGCCTTAACTAAATACCCTCTGAGTTGAAAAAACCCTCACAAACACCTACTCAACCACAATTTTCCTTTTCATCTGACTGATTCCTACCAAGCCTTCCTCTCTTCAGATGGACTGAAAATCAAAGTTGATAAACCATGGCATAGGAAAAAGGGCCACTGTACTACATGTCAGCCAAGAAAAAATAGGCCTGTAAACATTTACAATACATGCATTCAATAACTATTGAATCACATAATCCCAAAATAAAAATGGAGATACTTTTCTATGACTCGGATGTCACTTTGGATTTATTTTCTGATGAATAAAATCTACCTGTTGAGGGAAGCAAATGAACAGACTCTTCTCAGAATTTAAAAGTGCTTTAAAAAGGCTTATTTAAAAAAAAAAAATCCCCCATGGTAGGGTCCTTTTTGTCTTGGCTTAATCTTCTAGAGAAGTAATTCAGAGAGAGGAAAAGTAAACACACCATAGCCTCAGAGCTATCTGATTCACATAATATCTTTTCAATTACATATATATGTATATATGTCTGCATATGTATTCATACTTTCATATCCACACACTATATGTGTATGCATTGTTCCCATTTAACTAATGTAAAAATTGTGTCCCCAGATATCTAGACTCAACTTTAAGTCTTTTATTCTACACTATATTTTCCACACAACTATTTATTTGGGGAATATTTGAATGATTCTGCCAAATTTTAAGTCACAGGGAAACTGAAATGGCCTTTTGGCAATTTGGGGGTAAAGTAGCATCAGAAGGAAAAAAAAGATGAAGCCTTTACACAATCATTTACAGGACAATTAAAAAATCCAGAGACAATTTACTTGACTCTCAATCCAACAAGGCAGTATTCTTTACCTTTCCAGTGATTTGTTCCACCCCAAGGATACAGATTCCAGATATGTTCTAGAGACATTTTCCTATTAAGTTTAATAATAACCCTAATAATCACCATACTGATTCTACCTATGTAATGGGAAAATAACAGGTAGACAAGTATTAACTATAGAGTGACAACTCTCCAGTTTAAAGTGAACATTTTACAGTTTTTATAGCATACTGACTTAGCGTATACTGACTTATAATACTACTATTCTAAAACTAGTTCTCGTAGACACTTCCTTCCTAACTAGAGGATTGTCCATCTTTTCCCTTAGTTTAATACAGAACACTAGGTAGCCAAAAAGAAGAATGAAAATCTGGCATTTACTAGGATATGTAAAATGGAACTCTACAGGAGTCAACAGAAAACTAAATTCAAATATTTATGGAAGCAATGCAAAGGACTGAACTTGAGATACAATAGTAACAATAAACTACAAGAACTAACAGTTTAAAAATGCTGTGTGTGTGTGTGTGTGTATTTGGTGAAGAGAAGCAGAGGAAAAGGGTAGAAGGAAAATTCACTGATGACACAGATTCCCACCTGCATGCCTGCCACAACTATACTGCCACTAAGAGAAGTCAACTGATGGGGAATGTGCTTTTGGGAGAGATCTGACATGCTAGGTGTGAGAAGACAGTCAAGTACTCAAATGGAAGTACCTGATAAAATGCTGAACAATGTAGGACTGAAGCTCAGGAATCAGATTAGAGCAGCATCAGTAAGCTGTGATTCATCTCATCCAAATTGGAAAGAGCAAGAGCTAGACTATTAAATGAAACTAACATTGCACGGCTGCCAAGGGCCCAGCACTATAATATCAACTACATTTTACATTCATTCATTTTAATCCTGACAGTGATTTAACAAGTAGGGCTACTAGCCTCATTTCTAAAAGGAGGAAAGCAAGCCTCAGAAAAGTTAAGTAACTTGACCAAGGAACCAATGTATTCTGAATTCAAAGCCTTTGCTCTCTTTACAGTACTCTTCTGCCTCTTCAGAAGAATATCAGGGGACATGGTGTGAATGAGATTTCTAAGCAAGTTAACGTGGAGCGATGAATAGGGAGCCAAACAGAACTCTGAATTTATCTCCAACCTATGGAGACTTAGAGCCCTTCAGCATTCGGAACATTTCATGCTGTTCCTAAAAATATCAATGAAAACATCTATATTTCTGTTAAAATCATTCACATGAGGAATCTGGGTTTCCATGACCAGCAGCACTCATGGAACTCATCTCTAGGGCATAAAATCAAATACAATAGGCAGGTGAAATCATCAAACTTCCCCCAGTTGCTAATCTGTTTCTATTTGCATGGCTCAGTCTAGAGCTACTTATTTTTAGTGCAAATTTTCTTTATTCTGTATTAATAATCTCACCTAACAAGAATTTAATTCCCACACTATGGCACAGGCCTGAGCTTTATGAATTCAACAATTGCTAAGCAATTGTTTTGAGAATTTCATGTTTGGAACGCCTTCCCACAGCAAAATGCTGCTGACAACAGATTCTTCTCAGCTAGTTTGTCAGTCCTGGGCTCTGGTTTTGTTACTTCCTGGTCTTGCCCTCTGAAATACCCCTCTGCTGCACAGTTAAAAAGGCCAATCAAGTGAATTCTGTACTAAACATACATTTTTAGGCTTTCACAGAAAAGATCTCTCCAAAACTTTCATGGGCCATTTTTCTAGGACTTCTCTTTTATCTGTTGCTCATTCTACTTTTTTTTTTTTTTTTTTTTTTTTGCGGTGCGCGGGCCTCTCACTGCCGTGGTCTCTCCCGTTGCGGAGCACAGGCTCCGGACGCGCAGGCTCAGCGGCCATGGCTCACGGGCAAGCCGCTCCGCAGCATGTGCGATCTTCCCAGACCGGGGCACGAACCCGCCTCCCCTGCATTGGCAGGCGGATTCTCAACCACTGCGCCACCAGGGAAGTCCGCTCATTCTACTTTTGCTGTCCATGGAACAGAGAAGACGAAACAACCTAAGGGTATTTTCTTCCATCTGATTTGTGCCCCTCAGTTTTTTAACTTTGGGATTTCTTCTCTAATGGCATTCTGGTAGTACACTAAAATAAAGCTCTTTCACATTATCCAAACAACAAGTCAACTCAGCAATAACCTCTGAAATTCTAATGAAGGAAAAGACATGCAATTTTTGCTAGGGTGAAAAACCTATCAGTTCAAACAAATAATTGAAATAATAAGGACCTGCAGTCAGATTACTCAAAGCAAGAAAGTGAGTTCAAGAACCCACCGAGAAGAGTTTCTTCGTTTGGGTTTAGATGGATTTCTTCAGTTGGATGAAATTTTGTTAAAAAGAAAAGTTGAATTTCAAGGAACAAAGCCTAAGTTTGAAAAGTCTGCATTAATTCACTTACTGAAATAACAACAACAGGATATAAAATGGAAAGATTACTCTCTTCAAGCATATTCAGTAATTTCTGGGTTTCTTCAAAATCAGAGGTCATAACCTGAAAGACCAGAAAAATAAAAGAAGTTCTTAAATGACTTAAGAGTTCATTGAAGGAGAAAAATGGATAGGTTTTAAACATTTCAACATTCAAAGTATCTATCAAGCTTAATTTTAAATTTTCAAACAATGTTAAAGGATACCGATAAGATTATAGCTATTAAAATTTTTTTAATTCATTAATTCAAACCTATCTTCTTATCTACTTTTTACCAGAAATTTGAAAATACCGTTTAAAGAAATATCACCCTCTTCTCATTACGTGAACTAGGTTGTTAGAAAATGTTATTTCCCTATTTCAAAAGACAAAAATAAAATTTCTAAATACATATTGAATAACACAACTCACCTATCAAAATCTTAAATTCAAATACTTAAGAAACAAGAAAACTAACTACTTGTCAAACATTACATTTATACAAATCCTCAAGTGCTTTCAATCATTTGTATTAACTACTTACATTCACACGAACAAAATTGTAGCATTGCTCTAAGATGATTTGCTGAAGATCTCTGCCAGATGTGACTTTTACATGCTAGGAGAAAAAATTAGAGGAAAAAAGAGTTTACAAACTAGATAGAAAGACCAAACATGAGCATAAACAACTTTATGAGCACAAAATTTCTATAGGCACATAACGCCAAGGACCATGCATAAGAGCAAAATAATTCAGACTGAAGTTTATGAGGCTACCAAAAAAAAACCCCACTTAAAGTAGTCCTAAAATAATTAACATTATTGTAGCAAATAAGTAGATAGGAAATTGTTTTAGATAAAAAAATGTTGAAAAGGCTCAACATATATTCAGGAATGGGCAAATAGTCTGGTTTTTCTTATACAAAAAATATACAGTAGAAAATATTTGAATAAAATTTAAAAATTGGTTAGACAAGAATTTTTAGAGAATTCTGGAAGCATGTTAAATACTACAGTTACAAAGAATACATTTAACTAAATATGGAATGACTAGAAACAGGGAAAGCAACAAGAGATTACCATCATAGGCCTTCTTCTGAGGGTCCAGATCAAGATAGCAGAGTAGGAAGATCCTGAGCTCACCCCTCCCATGAAACACCAAAACTACAACTACATATAGAATGACTGTCTCTGAGAATGACTTGAAGATTAGCAGAACAGACTTTCTACAACCAATGCTATAAAGAAAAGGCCACATCAAGACAGGAAGGACGGGCAGAGGGGCAGACATGCAGTCTAATCAGAACCCCCACCCCCAGTGCAGCTGTCCGTAAGCAGGAGGGATATCGCAACCGTGAAGGTTCCCCCTGAGGAGCTAGGAGTCTGAGCCCCACGTTGGACTCCCCATCCCGAGGGGCCTGCACCAGGAAGATGAGCCCCCATAACATCTGCCTTTGAAAACCAGTGGGGCGCACATCCGGGAGAGGTAGAGGGCTGTGAGAAATCAAGATACTGCTCGTGAAAGGCTCAAACACAAACTCACTCAGAGTACCAGCACAGAGGCAGAGCCTTGAAAAGAGCCTAGGTATTATCAAAGGAAATTTACTGACTAATTTCAGGGCTTGTGCTGGAGGGGCAGAAATCTGGTAGAACTCTCTCTAGGGACAGAAGCAGTGGCAGGCAACATTTTTTTTTTCAAACTCTTCTACCTACCAGGCCGTTGCCATTTCTGCCACTGTTCATCAACCTAGTTAACCCATGTGCCCCACCCCAGTATTCCCCTGAGGAACAGCCCTCCTCAACCCACCCAACCCGGCTAGCTTCTCCAAAGTACCTGCTGCCCCACCCCACCCAGTGGCTGGCCTCAGTCAGCACCAGCACCCCTCCAAAGTGGCTCCTGCTCTCAGAAGCCAGCCCCACACATCAGCAGGCCAGGAGCAGTTGTGGCCAGACCTCTCAGCCAGCCAGGCCAAGAACCAGCACACCGTTTCAGCATGCCTGCAACAACTGTGGCCCAACCACAACAGGAGGGCACAATGACCAGGGGAGACTGCACCATCAGGCCCCACAGGACACCATTTATATAAGGTCACTCTTTCAAAACCAGGAGATGTAGCTGATATACCTAATACACAGAAACAGAGTTAGGTAAAATGAGGAAACAAAAGACTATCTTCCAAATGAAAGTTGGCAAAACTTCAAAAAAAACTCAACAAAATGAAAATGAACAGTTCTATCAGATAAAGAGTTCAAATTAACAGTAATAAATAAGCTCACTGAATGGAGAGAAGTATGTGAACTCAGTGAGAACTTAAAAAGAAACTATAAAAATGAGCCAATCAGAGCTGAAGAATACAATAACTATAATGAAAAATACACTAGAGGGAATCAACAAGAAGATGCAGAAGAATGAATCATCAAGCTGCATGATAGGGTACTTGTAATCACCCAATCAAAACAACAAAAATAAAAAAAGAATTTTAAAAAATGAGAATAAAAGAAAAAGGGACCTCTGATACAACATCAAGTATACTCACATTTGAAGTACAGGGGCCCCAGAAGGCAAAGAGAGACAAGGACACAAAACCTATTTGAAAAAACAATGGCTAAAAACTTCCCAAATCTGGGGAAAGAAACAGACATCCATGTCCAGGAAGCACAGACAGTACCAAACAAGATGAACCCAAAGAGACCCACACCAAGACACATTATAATTAAAATGTCAAAATTTAAATATAAAGAGGGAATTTTAAAATCAGCAAGAGAAAAGCAACTAGTTACATACAAGGGAACACCCCCATAAGACTATCAGCTACTTTTCGGCAGAAACTTTACAGGCCCCAGAAGAGACTAGCATGATATATTCAAAGTACAGAAAGGAGAAAACTTACAACCAAGAATACTCTACCTGGCAAGATACAGAGTTTCCCAGAAGCAAAAGCTAAAGTAGTTCATCACCACAAAACTGGCCTTATAAGAAATGTTAAAGGGAATTCTTTAAATGGAAAAGGCCATAGCTAGAAACCAGAAATTTATGAAGGAAAAACTCACTGGTAAAGGCAAACATATAGTAAAGGTAGTAGTAGATCAACCACCTATACAGCTAGTATGAAGATTAAAAGACAAAAGTAGTAAAATCGTCTGTATCTAAAATATTTATTTAAATGATACCCAAAGTAAAAAGATATAAAATATGACATCAAAAATATAAAGCATGGGTAAGAATAAAATGTTGTGCTTTTAGAACACATTTGAACTCAAGACGCCATCAACTTAAAATAGGCTACTATATACATAGTTTGTTATATATAAACCTTATGGTAATCACAAGTCAAAAACCTCTAACAGATACACAAAAAATAGAGAAAGGAAGCCAAACATAACACTAAAGAAAGTCATCAAATGAGAAGGGAAAAGAACCAGAGAAGAAGAAAGCGATAAAGAACTACAAAACCAATCAGAAAACAACTAACAAAATGACAATAAGTACATACCTAATCAACAGTCACTTCAATCAAAATGAACTAAATGCTACAATCAAAAGACACAGGTGGCTGAAAGGATAAAAAAAATAAGACCCATCTATAGGTCACCTTCAAGCAACTCACTTCATATCTAAAGACACACACAGACTAAACGTGAAAGAATAGAAAAGATTTTCCATATAAGCTAGGGTAGCAATATGCGTATCAGACAAAATAGACTTTAAAACAAAAAATGTAACAAGAGACAAAGAATGTCATTATATAAAGATAAAGGGATCAATCCAACAAGAGACTATAACACTTATAAATATCTATGCACCCAAAAAAGGAGCAAATATAAAGCAAATATTAACACACATACAGGAAGGTATTGACAATAATATGATAATAGTAGACTTTAACACTCCACTTACACCAATAGACATATCAGACAGAATATCAATAAGGAAACACTGGCCTTAAAGACACAGTAGACCACTAAAAATATATATCTATAGACCTTTCACCCCCAAAACAGCAGAATGCACATTCTTTAAAAATACACATGAACATTCTCCAGGATAGATCTCATGTTAGGCCACAAAACAAGTCTCAATAAATTTAAGAAGACTGAAATCACACCTAGCATCTTTTGTGACCCAAACAGTATAAAACTATAAATCAATTACAAGAAGAAAACTGGAAAAAAAACCACAAACATTTTGGAGCCTAAACCAAAAGCTACTAATCAATCAATGGGTCAATGAAGAAATCAAAAAAATACTCTGAAACAAATGAAAATGGAAAGACAATTGTTCCAAAATCTATGGGATGCAGTGAAAGCAGTTTTAGAAGGGATGCTTATAGTAATGCAGGCCTACCTCAAGAAACAAGAACAATCTCAAATAAACAATATAACTTTACACCTAAAGGAACCAGGAAAAGATGAATAAAAGAAACACAGTTAGTTGAAGGAAGGAAATGATGAAAATCAGAGCAAAAATAAATGAAATAGAGACTTTAAAAAAATCTTTTTAAATCAATGAAACTAAGAGCTGGGGTTTTAAAAAGATTTTAAAAATTCACAAACCTTTAGAGAGACACATCGTGAAAAAAAGAAAGATAGCCCAAATAAATAAAAAGAAAGAGAAGAAATTACAACTAATACCACAGAAATACAATGGACAAGAGATTACTGTGAAAAATTATACACCAACAAATTGGACAACCTAAAAGAAACAGATAAATTCCTAGAAACATAAAATCTTCTAAGACTGAATCAGGAAAGAATAGAAAATCTGAACAGACTGATGACTGGTAATGAAATGAAATCAGTAATGAAAAAACTCCCAACAAACAAAAGTCTAGGATGTGAGGGCTTCACATGTGAATTCTATCAAACATTTAAATAAGACTTAACACCTACCCTTCTCTAACTATTCCAAAGAATTGAAAAGGAAGAAATGCCTTCAAACTCATTTTAGGAGGCCAGCATCACTGTGATACCAAAACCATATAAAAACACTACAAAAAAAGAAAATTAATATTCATCAGGCCAATATCAATGATGAACATAGATGCAAAAATCCTCAACAAAATATGAGCAAACTGAATTCAACAATACATTAAAAGGATCATACACCATAATCAAGTGAGATCAATTCCAGGGACACAAGTTTGATTCAATATTCACACATCAATGAACATGATACAGCACATTCACAAAATGAAGAATAAAAATCATATGATTACCCCAATAGATCTAGAAGAAACTTTTGACAAAATTCAACATCCAGTTATGATGGAAACTCTTAATAAGGCAGGTATAGAGGGAACATACCTTAACATAAAAAAGGTCATATATGACAAACGCACAGCTAACATCATACTCAATGGTGAAGAGCTGAAAGATTTTCCTTTCAGATCAGGCAAAAGACAAGGATGCCCACCATCACCACTTCTATTCAACATAGTATGGGAAGTCCCAGCCACAGCAATCACACCAGAATAAGACACAAAAACAATACAAACTGGAAGAGAAAAAATAAAACTGTCACTATTTGCAGATGATATGACACTATGTATAGAAAACCCTAGACTCCACTAAAAACCTATTAGAATAAATGAATTCAGTAAAATTGTAGAATACAAAATA